CAGGGAGACAATATCACAACTAGATGCCTCATCCTAGCAAACAACACCTCAGTAACAGAAATGGCATACTCCTCTTCCAGTTGATGGTCAGTGGGATCCCTTTGAACCTCAAATGCTATAGGCTATTGACACTGATAATGCTAACCCTCCAGAAATTGACTGAAAGATCCTTTAGCTAAGGACAACACATACCTGCATCATAAAACATGGAGAAATCAAATGTGCACTGACCTGGAAGAATCATCTCTACTGGCTGGATTTGATAGTGTTGTGTATGCTCCTGGAAGAGGAAAGAAATCCACAGTCTTACCCAAACTGTGAACCCTAGAATGTAAAAAAAATTTTCACCACTACCACCACTACTACCATCAACAAAAAAACAAACCTAACCTGGCAAGATATGCCCACTAACGAAATAGTGACATAAATGATGTGAGAGTAAGCAACATCCATTAACTGGATTTAAGGACTGCTCCATAAAATGCAATCCAAGCCTGACACCATTTCCTGGGCCAAGACCCTGTGCTTGGATAGGTCATGGACCTCAGGGGAGAAAATGTTACTAATACTCTAAGTGGACATAGTATTAAAGTGACTTCTAACAGCCTCTTCTTGTACCCGTATATTAACTGAGATAAGCTCAGAGTTTCTCTCTCAAGCCTCATCAGAGCAGTTTCTCACAGTAAAAGACAATTATCGCAGGCAGCTGGTCAACCGGCAAAGAATAAGAGACTTTAGAGTGGTAATCCATAAATGCGACATTTATAAATGGGACATTTATATCACAACCCTTCTCTGCAAATCTCAGGGATGTTTGTGGAAAAGCGGGCTGAAAAACTCTAAGAGACAGAGGCTCGTATTAACTCCAACAAAATGGTGTTTTGCAGACAATAGTGCAATTGTACTTGAAACAAATGTGAGAGCATGCACAAAACCTGCTCAATCTGAAGCCAGACAAATTCTCAGCATGGAGGAAAGTGCAAGTGAAGTCTTTCCTCTAACCAATGAGTTTCGGGCATTTGATAGGTGCTGGAATGGGAAGAGTCCATTTTCTTTAATGTGTAGCTACTCTGAGGTAGACCACTCTGCAGGACAGTTACCACTTTCAAAAGTATTTGGCAACACCAGTTTGACTTGATGAAGAACAACAACAAAAGAGAACAGGCAAGGTGGTAGGTATGGAAGTGGAGGTAGACCTGGGAGGTGTGGGGAGAGGGGTAAATAGGATCAAAATATATTGTATGAAATCCTCAAAAAAGGTTAAATTTAAAATTAAA